ATTCCTTCCGATATTTGTTAAAATTAGTCGAAATACCCCTTGAAAAAAAGGTACGCCTTGAAGGGCCAAGCTTGGCAAAATGCCAGATCTGGTGGCTATGCTCGCGCGCCACTACGGTGGGCTATTTCGCAGCCATCGCCGACAGTGAGGAGCACATCGCCGTCGAGTGCTTGAGAACTGGCCAGTGAAGGAGGACAGAGGTGAAAACGGAAGGAAGACAAAGCTCTTGCTGAGGAGTGATTTCTGTACAATTGAATAGCCTTTTCTGGGGTATCGAACGGTAGACATCGCAGCCGTTAAATTTGGTTTGGTAGCGAAATGGAAGATCGTCAAATAAGCAGGATGCGCCGAGTACTGGTTTGATAACCTGCAGTAGTGGAAGCGCTAACTTGTAGTTGAGTCGACCAATGGATCCCTGTGAACCACTAAACTTAGTCCGAAACCATTCACCGGTTTCGTCGGCAGCTTGTAAGACTTGGATAGAATATCCCTTCAAACCTGCGAATGCAGTAATTTCGAGTTATTTCACAGTGGTGCTTCTACAGAACTTCGAATACCATTCCATTGTGCCTGAACAGCTGAATCCAATTGTGTAATCATTTTCAAAGGAAATTCTTTGTAATCCGAGTTGTAACAAAAATGTCGAAAGGCGCGTACTCGCGTTTCTTCGTTTTTTTTTTTGCGTTATGTCCATTCGAAGAGAATATATAGAAAGTTGTATGTAGATTGAACGCAGCTATTCAAGCTCTACAAGATGTTATTTTGAAGTTATGGGGAAGCTTTTGTCTAGAGCATCTCGGCTACACCTGTCTCGTGCTCTTAAGTTTCATGGGGTATTTCGTTCAAGTTCCAGAAGATCCATCCATCTGTTTTGTGGGATCGAACAGTATGCAATGATTCTCGACCACATTTGGGTCTCTGCGAGAATTTCACGGCAAACTTGGTCACAAAATAGCGTTGCCGCTGTAATATGGCCCTAATTCTCACCACGCAGCATATCTTGATGGATTGGCCATCTTTTATTCGTTACCGTACCCGAATTACACTTCTAGAGAGCATTTTGCTATATTCTCGAGACCAAATGCTGTCCAATGAAGCATAGATCGTCCCTTGTAGAACAAACCTTGTTGTCTTTATTTTCACCCTTATGCTCTTCTCTGGAAATAGGTAGGCTTATGCACCGGCAATCGCGGGACACCACTGCCCGGAGTGTCTGGCATTTTGCCAGGTAGAATAATCCTTCCTTTCTCCCCATGCGGCTGTCACGTGAGTTGCACCGCCATTTTTGATCTCCATAGCAAACCTGATCAAACGGTTTCATTGCATACTGTTCGTTCCCACAGAGAAATGCCTTTCAACTACATATAGGTTGCTTCGATGAGAATACGATGAGATCTCTGTGTTGTTCCCATGCTAAGCCTTCTTTTATTTACCGGCTCATCTCTGGAGCCCTGGACGGCAGAGCAATTCTTGCACAGCTGAGGCGATAAAGGAGAGGCTAGCCAGACAGCTTGGCACAATGCCAAATCTTGTGGCTAACGGTGCTCGCTGGCCACGCCTCTGTGGTAAGCTATTTCGCAACCTCTGCCGATGCCGTGGGGCGGTTGAGAATCGGCCAGTGAAGGAGCACAAAGGTGAAAACGAAAGGAAAATAGAGCTACTTCTGAAGGGTGATCTATGTATCATTGGATAGCTTTTTTGAGAAGTCGAGCGGTACCCAACGCATCCATGAAATTTGGTTTGGTAACGAACTAAAAGACGGTCAATCCATCAATGAGTGAAGGATACTGGTTTCTAACTACGTAACGGAGGAAGGGCTAACTTCTAATCGAGTCGACCAATAGATTCCTGTAGACTAGTGACTGTAGTCCGAAATCATTTATTGGCTTCGTCGTTTACATGAGGAACTTAGACGTAATATCCCTTCAAACTTGACAATATGCAGTAATATCGCGTTATTTCACAATAGTACTCCGACAAAACTTTGAATACCATTCTACTGCGCCTGAAGAGCTGAATCGAGTTATATAATCATTTCAAAGAGAGCTCTTTGTAATTCGAGTCATGACCAAAATGTCAGAAAGACATGTTCTCGCGTTTCATCCTTCTTCGTGCTATAAATCCATTCAGAGGCAAATTATAGTAAGCTGAATATAAGATGAATAGCAATTCAAGCTCTACAGATACAGTTTCGGAGCTCTATGGGGAAGCTCTCATGAGGCTGGAGCGATTTGCGCGATTGGCGCTCAGTGCAGGGCGAGAAAGGAGAGGAGCCAATCGCCTGGCAAAGTGCCACATTGATTGGATAACCGCGCTTCTTCGATTAGCGGTGCCGAGGGCTCTGCACCTGGGTTCTTTCGAAATCTGCTCGGATACGTGAAATGTACGCTGCCGTCGAGGGCTTGAGAAACGACCAGTGAAGAGTATGAAGACGAAAATGGAACGAAAACAAAGCTCTTGTCTATGGGTGGTCCATGTATCATTGGATGGCATTTTTTCTGGTGAATTGAACGGTATACATCACAGCTATCTTGCTTGAAAACGAAATGAAAATGGTCAACCGATCAGGGGGGGGGGGTCAAGTACCAGGCCTTGATGCACTTCTGAGCAGTGCGTGTGCGTCTGAATCCTGCGCTTCTGTGTAGAGACAAAAAGCTCAAAGACTAGCCTTGTTTTGGTTGACGACTGCGAAATCATTCGACGAGTCGAACATGTTACGAGTACATAAGTTGGTAGTAACGTTATGGAGTGGTCGTGCAGAAAGTCCCGGTGCCTTCCAGAAGAATTTGGTTTGTGGCGAAATCTTTGGAAGTATATATCCGAATGCGCTCATAGTTATGCTTACAACTTGCTTCTGGCTACGGATATTATGCCGTGAAGAGAAATAGCACTCGTTAGAATGAAAGTGATACAGTGGTAATAGCGATATAGTGATAATGATGTTGTTCTTCTTAACTATCTCATTTTTATGAACAGCGAGCTTGGAAGTATGTTTCATTCTCTCAATGCCTGCGAAGAAAACAGGTACTGGTAAATTGGAAGTTATTATGATGTAGTGAAAACGTTGTTATTGTATCACGTTCTACAGGGACCCCTAAGAAGTCCAAGGAGCAAGGAGAAGAGAAGGGAAAGACACGACTAAGAGTGCGTACAGAGCGGGATCCGAATGTCGTGAGTTCGAAAACTATTGATGCTCATACTAGGGAGAATTTTTGTGCCAGCGTAACCCCAGTGATGAGAAGGGCTGTATCTGTGAAGCGGATGAGTTTTACCGGGAGGCAGCCCTTCTGTATCCCTCAACTTCTATCAAACAGTATCACCTGCAGGATTAGGCCAAAAGGTTGATCATTTCTCTATTCAAACTGTTGAAGTACTAAGCTAGCCTGCCCTTCTGTTCCACTCAACATTTAACAAACAGCTATTGCCTGCAGGATCGGACCAGAAGGTCGATCATTTCTTTATTCAAACTGGTGAAGTACTAAGCTAGCCTCTCAATCTGGTCCGTTAGTACGTTAGCGGTGGGGGTGACGGAGGTGCCTGTAGAAGAAGCTAAGCACTTACTGTACTCAGCAACTGGTCACTACTGCTAATCAAGAGGATTAGTAAGAAAACCAGGGAAAACGTCCTAGGTTTCAAAGAAAGGTGAATTTTGCTGTGCTTTGCATCTCTAGCTATAGGCACTAGCTCGTAGAAGAAAGAGGATTACCGACTTTGCCGAGGGTGTGTGAGGTTCTGACTCTGGGCAAAATGCTGGAACAGGAGAGGAATTGATCAGAAGCAGAATGAATGTAGTCAAGAATGCTGTCGTACGAGCAAAAGAATAATTCACCATTTTATAGGACCCGTTCTTCAATGAAATGCAGGAGATCAGTGCGAAAGGATTCTTTCCGAACATGGAAGTGGACAATCCAGATGAAAGGCCTACTCTCCCAACTAATACCATCATAACAACTAGATCAAATAGGTTATTAGATAGAGTAATAAGTGACTGAACCATTTGTCATATCAAATCCAGTACATCAATTCTTTTAATTCTTAGATACGTTGTCATAAAAAAGCTTGGAGCTGGAGGTTTCGGGGATGTCTACGAGGTGACTCGTGAACGCGACAATGGTCTACTTGCTATGAAGACGGAATACGATGTTGAAGACGACACATTGCAAAGACTAAAAGTAAGCGTCGAGTTACCAAGTATAGATCCCACAGGAACAAGTCTTTTCTTCACTCTCGGCGTACAGGCGTAACGCTGCTTTATTTTGGCAAAATTTTGAGTTATGTTCTTATTCGTACTAACCATATTTATTTTGACGGTCCCGTACAGTAAAGGCATGACGATAGACACCCAATTGGTTTGTGCTCTAATTGGTATGGGTGGTGCCAAGGCATGACGGTAGCGTAGTCCCGTCAACGTAACCAGCCCATTTCTTTCCCGAATGACCACATTACCAACAACCCTCTGGAGCTCATAAATTAGAAGAGCTCATAAATTATCACTTGTGACACACTGGTGTGACATCGCTGTAAGTTCTTTGTGTTCCTCTCCCCTGAAACTTAACGAAAACCCGACGGAATCCTTGTTTGATGAGAGTGACTTTCCAAGTTGGTCGGGCTTTCTGGAACAAAAACACAACTCTCTGTTCAGCGGGAAGTGCTAGTCTATGAAGTCATAAACATGGCAAAAAGACAGAATCCTCGCTCTGCTGATCATATTCTGCACATGGTAGACAAGGTAAGTATTACAGAATTAATATTGTTCCCTGATGTATTTCATGTTATTGGGGTAGGTGCCCATCAAGCGTTGTCAAGTGATAGTTGGGATATCTCCACCCATATGCCTCTTCAATTATCTCGTTTTACATTATAGGGCCATAATCAGTACTTCAAATATATAATCATGCCATATACAGGCAAATCTCTGGACTATATAAAAGAAAACGTTTTAAAAAGCGAGTTTGCGTGAGTTATCCATTATCAAGTGATAAATAGATTTTCCTAGGGACAAGCGGCCACCATGGCCCATAGCAGCACAATTCATAGGTATTACCTTTAGAGGCAAAGTTTCGATAAAACTATCGGGAGGTATAGGTTAGAGAGCGAAGGAACCTTCTGTTTGGCACTCGACGAATTTTGTATAAATAAATTTAACACTGTGCCAGTAGTACACAATTTGTGCATTACCAAATTGGAGTCCGCAATCATTCAAGCACGCTGTCTTCCCGCAGTTAACATTCGCATTGTTTTGGTACTATTACTTACTAACCTCTGCCTTAATCGAATGAGTGAGAATGCACCTCAGGAACTCACATGAAACATGAGCTCTTCATTTTCAGGCCGCATACCGCTATTCAGATTGCCTGTCAGACACATCTTGCTTTGAAGAATCTCCATGAATTGGGTTACATCCATCGAGACGTGAAGCCAGACAATTTCGTTGTCGGCAGGTCTGTCTTGATCTTTTCTCAGTGCACTAAAGAACAAGTAATCAGTGGCGCCCATAGGCTTATTTAAACTGGTACAGCAAACAGAAAATTCACCAAATATCGGTCAACATGGGTCATTGGGGCCGCGTAGTCAAAATGCCGAGATTCACGGGGCTCTAGATTAAAAATGAAAGATTCCAAAGCGTAGATGAGGCTTGCACGCGTGCCATCACCTAGTTCTGAAGAAGCGATCGCTATGACACGTCTAGTACAACCAGTATCGCAAGGTTATAATAACTCCTTGTACCAACTAGCCATCAGACCTCAGAAGAACTCTAATATTCCTGTCAAGGCTGAAAGAGCCCTTGATTCTTCCACAGTCGATTAAATGGTACTAGACCGATGTGGGAGGTTAAAAGTACTTGCACATCTGTTGGTTGTCACAACTCAGAGAATGCGCCGGCTTTAACATTTTTACCAACACTATTGCGATTTTGAATAGAAGTCGCATGTATGGGCGCATTCCGAAAAGGAGGATTGATCGAAGTCCTAATGTTTCTAGGAGGATTGATCGAAGTCCTAATGTTTCTGTCTTCTGTTGTTAGTATCGATGTTTATTCCAGGTTTGAACATAGAAATGTTATCTTCATAATGGACTTTGGTATGAGCACGAAGTACGAAAAGACAACATCCAACCTACCGAAGTGAGTTTTACGAAAACCTCGTTTTCCCATAATTTTTCGCTGGCGCTCACCTTCAGTGGGAGCGTTTTATGAAACAAGGTTACAAGTACGATCAACGGCATTTACTTGACAAGGTATCTGTCATGTTACAGAGAATCGCGTTACAAATTTATTGGAACGCCAAAGTACGCGGCTCGTGCTACACATCAAGGCCGCGTTGTCAATAGGAAGGAGGATATGGAGTCCTGGTACTATATGGTAATTTGTTTGTCATTTGACAGTTGGCCTTGAACATAGCGGGGCAGAGGACGGGGGAAGGGGGGGGGGAAGTAAACGTTTGCCGGGGTCGAACGTCCTTTTCCACATTCCTGACTCGACCGAGCACAACCGCTAAAAAGAGGGAGTGTCAAAGGAACACAGGAGGAAATGATGGCAGTCTCTAGAAGAGCACTGACATG